AATGCTTGTTTAATAAATAAATTTGTCAGAGTTTGAACTTTCACAACTAAAATTTAATAAACTTCTTGATTCAAATAATTTCTATTAAAAAAAGATTCATATAAAATTGAATAAGGCTTTGTAATTTACTCATCAATCAATGTAACAGTGTAAAAGGGTAAAAGCAGCTAGCTAGCAAGCACCGTCACCGTGTCTTGACAGTTAAGGTTTAATGTGTCGGGGAGTTAGTCACCTGATACACCCGGTGGCACTGTCGGCGGAGATTAGTGTCGGCACCGACACGCCAGATCGTTTACCGATTGGATATTATAATTAGTTGGCAAATAAATGTTCATATTGAGCAAACCGCAAATAATGTGATGCAAATAAAAGAGGGGTTTCCATCTCGTTGTAAATTTTTCTTCGAATATGCCCACAAATTAGATCGCCTTGTTTTAGAAATTATCTCCTATATATATATAGATAGATTAATTTAAAATGTAGTGAGCATAAATAGTAGACTCGTATGATTCGAAGCTAAAATGACGAAGATCTCTATAAATATTCTTTAGAATTACATTTGGTATTTGATGCAGACATACACGTGCAAATATGAATATTATAAGTATAGGGAGCTCGACCGAAGCGGTTAATGACCTGTCAAGAACGTCCTAAAGATCATGAAGCATGGAAGCTAACAACCTTAAGGAACGGAGACGACTTAGCCCGTAGGCGACCTAGGGGCCCTTTATCTGATGATGTCGAGATCGTATTATCCAACGGCTAAAAAAAGCTAAAATTTTATAAGCATTGAGAGTACAATAGACATTTTATCTTTTACACATGTCACATTAATTGGCCCCACCCCCTTCACATTCTCTCCTTGGCTCACGCACACAACTGTATACATACACACAAGCGCGGCTGTAACGCCAATCCCGCCGTCGGCCATCGCCTATCCGCCGCCGCCTAGGGCTGCAAATGAGACGAGTCGAGTCGAGTATTGGCCTTATCGAGCAAGATTGACTTTTTTTTAGCTGGTCGAGCTGGAGCTCGTCGAGCTGAGGCTCAAACTCGACTCGATAAGAAAATACAATAGCTCGAGCTTGGCTCGAGCTCGACTCGAAATCAAATGCTTGAGCTCGGCTCAATAATATTTAATAAAATTACCATTAAGCACTTGTGTTATACCATTTAAATATATATATGGGGTATTTTAGTAATTTAATATATATATATATATCGAGCGCTCGACAAAGCAAATTACGGGCTTGGGCTCGACTCGAGTTCGTGCTCAAGCCGCTCGAGCTCGACTTAAATTCGATCAAACCCGAGCTCGAGTCGATCGAGCTTTGACTTGAACGCTGCCCTACTGCCCCTGCATTAATCCAACCGCCGACAATCGCCGCCTCCAGTGTCCCTTCGGCCACCTCCGCGACCCTCCGTGACAAGCACGTCCGTCAAAGTTTCAGATGAACCTCCACCCAACTCTGCCCTCCATCCACCTCCGTCCGTTCATAGTTTCGTGTGCACCTCGGCTGGCCGGACTAGAATTTCCATCCGCCGCACCTCCGCCTAGTTTCAACCCTTAACCTCACGCGTTCGTTCAAAGTTATGCCCTTTCAGTTTGCCGTAATCACGTACAACACTAAAAATTGGCCTAGGCAGCTAAATATGATGCACGTTAGTGACTATTAGACTACACAATAATATTAAATAAAATACATTGTACTAGGCGACTGCCTAGGCCCTAGGCGTCACCCGACCATCTTCGATTTGCATGAATCGGATGAAAAATTGTCCATACGGCTAGGAGGCGCATAGGTGCTCCAAGGTAGGCTCGACGGCGCCTAGGGATTTAATATTTTGATGCAAATATTAGCCATATATTTAACATGAGAGCCCTTATTTAATTTGAAATCTCAGCCACTATATATATAAATCTAAAAAACACTTATTTTACGTAATGTCACAAAAACAACGAGATAGAAGGAAAATTCGTTCGTTGTATGTGGAGGCACTGTCCCCAATGCTCTTTTACAGTAATGCTCCCCTATCCACGTTGGACACACGTTAATATACCCACCGCTTATATAGTATACATACATTGGTGATGTATTTTTTTAAATATATTAACATCACCAATGTGTGCATGTCACATAAACGATGAATATATTAATATGTGTCAACCGTAAATAGGGAACATTACTCTGCTTTTTCATCCTTGTTTCACACACACCCACATCCAATTTTTTGAGATTGGTTCAAATAGCGTACTATCATTAGTTTATTTATTGTTAAAGAAGTTGTCATGATTATTGTTATTTTCTGTATCTTTGAAGTAAAGTTCTTAATGGGCAACCCTATATAATTATCTGACCATAGTTTAACAACCCACTTTCTATTACATTTTGCTTTAGAAGAAATTAATTAAATATATAAAAAGCTTGAACGTTCAAAAGTTAATTAAGATTTTAGCCAAATCGCATTTTATTTATTTTATTATTATTATTATTATTTTTTTTTTTGGAGAAGTCGTTTAGAAGCAAAAACGATTCTAAGAGTGCATACGAAGTTACAAAATCTTATATATTTGTTTTCTAACAAAGGATTGTGTAAATGAAAAAGCTATTTGTACAACTTTTTTGTGCGACATTGAATGACAACATGATGTGGCATAATGTGGGTGATTGAGATGCAAATAAATGTACGATTAAGAATTGACTTAATGATATTTTTAACTAATGCTGTCAACTAATATTGTAAACTACAGGTGTACATGTAACATTGCCCGTGTGTAAATTATGTCTGAACCACAAAAGAAACTATGGTCTACAAATGTCGGGTTCTCTATGTAGAAGTCAACATAATTTTGAATGTATTTAGCATAAATTTATAGGGTGAGATAGCTATTGTACATACTGTGATAATGTTCTCTCATTCACCATTTTTTTTTTTTTCCGGAACGATAGAGATACTATTATAAATCAAACGCGCACAAAGTGCGAATAAAAATACAAAGCTCCCAGCGGGAGAATAAAATGGAAGGACAGGTCAGAAGACCGCCTAGAATCCCGCTAGCAACGCTAGAATAAAAACTCAAACACAGACCAACTATACGACCACGACCCCAAAGGAGTAATAAAAATCTCTCATTCACCATGAGACTGATTAAAATTTTAGTCTCAACCATGCATTTAGTGTACGAGACAAAATAAATAAATAAATAAATAAATAAAATAAAAATAAAATAAAATTATATGATTGTCTCATACATGTGAAATACTTATTATGTTCTTACTTTAATTTGAATTTTAATTTGTTTTGTTTCATTAAAAACTTATATTGCATTTAATTTCTAGCTCATGTATATAATAAAAATAACTTAATAGTGGGATAATTAAGCTAAAAATGTACTATAATTGAAAAATCCGACCATCTCGTTGTCACCGGCATGCAGCCGCCGACCACCACCATTAGTCGTAGTTCGTCAATTTACTACCAGTAGTAAATTTTAATAAATTATATTTCATTTTGAAGCTCTCAGCTCGATTTATCCAACGACATATTTAATTTCATAAGGAATCCATCAATATCTTCAGATCATCGATCGAACCTTGAAATAATCCGAAAAATGCCTGAAGTGAATAGATTTCACTCGGGCTCCTTCAACTCGAACGGCCTCCGCACCTGCAGAACCCAACGCGGGGGGTGGCCCCGGCGTCGGGCCTCCGATGCTTAAGTCAGTGCTCAGATCAAGAGAGAGAAAGTGTAGTAATGAAATAAGGAGAGAATGAGAGAATGAGGTATATTGGTCCCCTTTTATAGAGAGTGTGTACCTTTTGGGCCCAAGTTGAGCTTGACCCCTATCATTGGGCTTAGATGTCTTAGTGGGCTTATCCTCCAATATATATCCGCTTTATCCATTAAACCGAGTCCAGTATAATATTCTGTATCAGAAAGAATCATCATTACATAATTCATTTAAACTGGAATTAGTAATTATTCACATTTAGGATAGTCTTGAAAATTCGAGAATGAAGATAATGGATGTATGACAATGTTAGGAGATGCAACAATAATTTATGTCGGAAAAGATATATAGATAGATGGGTAGCTTTAATCAATAAAAATGTTATTATTCCTATGCTTTTCAAGTAATTTTTCTTTTTGAATTAATTAGCTAATTACGACTTGAACTAAAGACATTTTCAAATATTTATGTATCTCTTATGTCATTATGACTAGGGAATAACTATATATATCTAAATATTATGAAATATTATACTTGCAAATATAATTACACTTGCAACCACAGTAATCAAAATAATTGAGAACGAGTTATTTAGACATAGTTTGTTAGCTTCCAATCGACAATGAATAAAAAATAATCATTATAAATTATAGTTATAGCAAATTTGAGTTATTTTTCAAAAAGTGATGTAAAAAGATGACATTAGAAAGCTATATTATGAAGACAATAATAGTGATCATTATTTTAAGCACAATGAATATATCATTAAATAACAAAATCAAAGACTATAAATTTTTTTAGCATTTACATTTTCACTAAAAAAAATATTATTTTTATTTTTAGTTTTCAACTCAATGTTTTTTTTTAATTTTATTCATCATATAGAGTTTAGATAATAGTATTAAATACTATATTTCATTATTCAACAAAATACACTATTTTTTGTTAAACTAAATGAAAGAAAATTATATTATACTTTTAAATATAAACTTAATATTAAAAATAATTTGAAAAAAATATACCACGTGCGTAGCACGTGCATCTTCCTAGTTATTTTCAAAGTATGACACTTTATAACAAAAAATATGCACATTTTAAAAAAAAAATATATATATATATAGGGTCGGGTAATATATATTACCATTTGAAATGGAGAAATAAATATTAACACACTAATAGGAGAAAAAA